GCTGGGGGATTGAACCGCGGTCCCTGTGCTTTGTTAAGTTTGTTGTAAGTAAGTGTTTTAGACCATTGAGCCATCTCACCAGCCCCCATTGTATAGTTTAAAAACAAATCTTACACAGCCCTACATTTCAATTTTTTTTCTTCAAAAGGAGTGAGTTGTGTACAGGGGGGTTAAATGCTTTATAGATAAGAAAAAAAACTGCACTAGAACCAACTTATTCATCATCATCCTCTTCCTCCTCCTCCTCCTCCTCCTTCTCCTCCTTCTTTTCTTTGCTTTTTTCAGCCTTGACAACTTCCTTTTTTGCTGCATCAGGTTTTCCTTTAGCCCAGTAGGCAGCAATGTCCTTTTCACACTTCACCTTCAGCTTGGCAGCCTTCTTCTCGTATGGCTGCTTGTCATCTGCTGCATTATTACTCCACATTTCTCCAAGTTTCTTTGTAACATCACCAATGGAGAGTCCAGGATGTTCTCCTTTGATTTTTGGGTGATACTCAGAACAGAACAAGAAGAAAGCTGAAGGAAGTCTCTTGGGTGTGTTGGGATCTTTGAACTTCTTTTTTGTTTCTCCTTTAGGAGGAATCTAAGTTTTCATTTCTCTTTCATAACGAGCCTTGTCTGCTTTTGCCATATCTTCAAATTTTCCCTTCTCTTTAGCAGACATGGTCTTCCACCTCTCTGAGCACTTCTTAGAGAACTCTGAGGAATTAACAGAAGCATCTGGATGCTGCTTCTTGTGCTCCTCTCGGCAAGTTTGCACAAAGAATGCATATGATGACATGTTGCCTCTCAGCATTTTAGGATCTCCTTTGTCCATGATCACTTGTTTTCTTAAACGAGGTACAGAGTCACCCAGTGCCCATACAGCTCTCACTTGCCCCAGCGCTGTCTCTGTGGAGCTCAATATACTGCAATGGCTCTGAGAGCAGGAGCCAAGACTGGCTTATTTTGATCAACAAGATGGACTACAGAACCATCCACTTTCCTGCAAATGACAAATTTGGTCTTTTTTGTGGCTGCATAATACTGCATGGTGCATACGTACCAATTTTTCTTTATCCATTCACCTCTTGACAGGCACCATGCCTGGTTTCTTATGTGGGATACTGGTTGTGCTGCAGTAGACATGCATATGCAGGTGTCTACATGGTGACTTTAATTTCTTTGGGTATATAAGAGGTGGCATAGCTGGATGAATTTGTAGCTCTATCTTTAATTTTTTATGATTTCTCATACTTATTTCATATTTATTGTAATAATTTGTAATAAATTATTATAGTAATTTATATTCTCACCAGAAATGAAAGAGATATCCTCCCCACAATATACACCCCTGCCAACATTTATTGCTTTATGTACTTGAAGGGAGCCATTCTGGCGGGGTGAGATAGAATCTCGATTTACTTTAGATTTGCATTTCCCTAATGACTAAAGATGCTGAACATATTTCATAAACTTTTTGGTCAATGGTGCTTGTTGATATTGTCAGATGGCACAGTAATCAGACAGGATAGAAAACCAGTTACACAGAAAAGAACACATGAACTTACGTGGTGCAAAGCCCATAAGGAAAACAGAATGCAGAAGCCACCTGGGGAACCTACGGGAAGATGTAACTCTTTCTATTCAGGAGGAGAGAAGGCAGAAGTAAGTTGAGGGAAGAAGAGGGAAGAAAAGGAAAGTGTAAGAAAAATGGAAGTGAGGGTAGCTGCACTGGGCATTGCTTGCTCAGCAGCCATGTCCCTAGCCTGCCCCCACTTCTCCTCTGTCCTCTCCTAAGGTACCCTGCTTCCTGAAGCCTGGAAGACCTCTGCAGAGGCACTTAATGTGACACGTTATAGAGCTCAGTCCACCTGTGCAGAACACTGAGTTCCTGGAACTGTCAAAGCTGGCAAGGACGGGCATGTCCCACAGGTCTCTCATGGCCAGGCCTTTGATCCTCAGTGAGACAAGCCCCAGGGCCTAGCCAGACCCTTAGATGAGAGGAGACCTTGATGCTCTGGCTGGCTTAGTCTCTCACTTAAAGGGCACATGAGAGGAAGGAAGAGGGGCAGTGGTCAGGGGAAGCAGCCACATATACAGAGGACCTAGCTCCAACTACTTAGCTCCTGTTGCAGTCCAGAGAGATGGCAAATGTATCAATTTGTGTCCCCAGGAGGAGAGTACGAGACTATCCTGTTCCTGTGCCAATTTGTTATATTCTTATTCTTATTTCTGCTGATTAATCAGTATTAAGAATGATAGAACACTGTTTTTAACCTATATTACACCTAGTAGGAAGGAAAATATTTTTCAGATGTTTGATGACTATTTCTTCTGTGATTCATTTTTTGTTTGTATCCCTTGCTTATTTTTCTATGGGAATGTTCATTGTTGTGTTATTAAACTAAATGACTTATTTATATATTAAAGATATCAACCACGTATATTAGATGTTTTCTCAGTTGAATATTTAGCATGGTACCCTCATCTATGCATAAGAATGACAGCTATCCTTTAATCCCCAAAATAACCATGTGAGGTAGAATTTACTCAGGAGCATTCCAGAATTATCTTTCTGTATAATTATGGGCTACTATGCTTTTTATAAAATAAAAATAAGTGATTACAAATTCATATATATGGCAGATTATTGTACAGGGTTTTCAGATTGTACAATAATCTGAATTATTCATTAGATTTAGCAAACAGTCAGGATTTAAAGATAATCTTATCTCAAACTTTCTGGTTATCTAGTCAGAGGAATAGAAATGGTGCATTTTGGGTGTGTGATATCGCCTTTGAATGCTAGCTGTTACAGTTTCTTTGTGTGTGCTTCCAAATGTCTTGTATGGCAAAGAATTTTCAGGGTAAAAAGCCTGCTTTGCTGTCCAGGGAGCCTATGTAGGATGTGAACTCTTTGAATTGAATTATTTTTCTTCAGTATCATCCTAATTGGTTTTGAGTACATAGGGGGCAACCTCTCCCCTCCCTCATCAGGATTAGAATTAGAAAAAGTTTTCTGTTCATCTAACTCACTGGTGTTCAAACTTTGGAGCACGGGAGCAAATCTAATATACTTGTGAAAAACATGCTGTGGTCTTGCCTCTCTGACCTCCACAGTCCAAATTTCTGGGATTTTGGTCCAGCAGTTTATACTGAGTAATAACCCCTAAGTCTATTAAATTTGTTAAGATAAGGCCAAAGACTGGGGTGTGTGGGCCCTTAACGTTGGCCTGAGTCACCAAAGTGTGAAGGTGGATGGAAGTGCAGGCCCTCCCTCATGTGGGAACAGAAAGGAGGCATTATGAAAACAATGCTTTAGAGCCTGGCGTACCCTGTCCTGGATCATGAGGGACTTTAGGACCCACGTGGATTTGGCAGACATTAAGGGTCAAACACCTTTATGTGACCTCCACATTCCACAGCTTTCAGACCTCAGCTAGGATGATGAGTAAGGCCCTGGGAGGTCAGGGCACCAGGAGGCAGAGCTTCTGACCCTGACAGAGAAGTAGAAGTTTGGCCTTTATTAAGACTGTGTAAAGGATGCTCCTGTCCTAGAAATAAATATATATTCTAGATTTTTGTTCCTTTCCTCTGTGAAGGAAGAAATCTGTGCTCAATTCTGAACTGGGGTTTATTTTTTTCTTATGTATTATAAAAACTGTCCCAGAGATGAAATAGCTATTGTCTCTGGGGTTGACATGTCCCTCTGCAGAGCTGACAGACATTCAATAGAAAAGAAGTTACTCAGATGTGAACTAAATTTGGACCAACACCACTCTCCTGTGATGAGCCCACTCCCCTTCACCGGGAGAGGGAGCAATGGCAGCAGAATCACCCCATGACACTCTTCTGGGAGCAGAATTCAGTAAGAACATCTCCTTTCCTGTCCCAGTTCTTTTTCTACAGAGAACAGACTTCTGTGACCCAAGAATTTCCCTCTGTGACTCTCCTCAGGCTGCAAAGTGCAAATTGAGTGCTAATTATGTACCTGTTTGGCCTAACCCAGAGGTGGTTTTCCTTGGGGAAGAGGTACCAGGAATCGAACTCAGTACCTCGCACTTGCTAGCAGGTGCTGTGCCAATGAGTACAAATTTGCAGTTCCAGTAGAGTACAAATTTTGTGTCAACTGTGTAAAGCATTGGGAAAGTCGACATAGAAAGGGTTACATTCACTAAGAAAAATGTTACAGTGACATCACATTCCTTGACATACATTTATTTAAAATGAAACATTAAGAAAAAAGCTTTCAGAATGGAAGGAAGTGTACGAGGAGGAAGCAGTGGCATGCACACCCACATCAGGGAACAAGATGCACATCCACACTTTGCGCAGAGTGTTGAGTCTCAGCAATGTACAAAGAAATAACTAGGAATGAAACAATTCACTGCAATGTCAGAAAACACCAAGACCGAGGGCCAGTCCTGCCTGGAACTTCTACTCCCTCCTTGCCGCCTTCTGTGTTCCTGTGACATGGCATGCTTCTCCCACAGCCCCTTAGTAACTTTTATTGAGTGAAAATTATATTAAAACTTTATGTCCCTTTGAAGTCACCTATGAGATAGGGAAGAAGGGGAAGAAAGGGGAATTGTGCAATCTTGGAGCTACCAAGAGAGCGATACCAAAGTGTTTTTCCTCTGGTGTCCCCAAGAAGACAGACAACCCCTGCCTGTGTGGTGCTCAGACTGTTGTCCACACATCACTCACTGCACACACTTCTTTGAAGATCAGCAGTGATTAATAATATTTGCTGCACTCATTCACTGTTTTCTTGGATGGTCTCATTAGCAACACGACTCAATTTTTAATTATCCCTATCGGTCTGGGGCTTCTCTCCATAAGTGAGGTTTGATGGGAGGACTCCGTTTATAGCTGAGGTAGGATGGAATTCAGTTTTGCTCAGAGAACGTGTGTATGGGGAGGGGGTGGAAGGGAAGGGGAGGGACAGGAAGGGAAAGGGGAGAGACAATTACATAAATTTCAGAATCAGTTATAAATTTTAATTGAATAGTCCAGCATTCTAGATTTTTCACTCCTGCACTTGGTATAAATAATTGAGTTTACCCTAGGGCTAATAGAAAATGTAGATAACAGAAGGGAAGCAACATTGTGAAAGTAAACATAATTTTCTCTACATAGACCCAGGGTTCACATCCTGTGGGGTTTACAATTTAGAGTCACTGACCAACCAGCTCATCAGAGAATGACCTGCTAGCACTGTCAATATCTTCTCTAGTAACGTAATGTTGTGGCGTTGGCACCTGGGGAACTGTTTGTCTGTGGGGAGCTGGCACAGCGATTCCTCCAGTCCTGGGCTCTCACACCCCCACATGCCCTGATGCTGCTCACACGTGCAGCTGGACGCCTCACGGACCATGTGAATCACATCGGCTGGGTCATGGATGAAGTTATCGCTCGATTTGCATGACCCAACAGCTTCCAAGTCTTTGCTCCAGGCCACTGTGTTACTGCCACACTCTTTGTTGCTAACAGGACTGTTACCTTTGGGGATGCTAGAACGGAGCCCGAATGTCAGTAGTGAAGAAGGCATAGCATCCTTAGACAAGCTGAGGCTGGCATTTTTATCAAACAGAGTTAAGTTCATTAATACCTCATCAGTCTCCTTTCCTCGACCACTTTTCACTGTCTCAGGTTGCTTCTTCTCCTCTGAAGATTCCTCTTTTACTGTCTCCATTATACTTTCTAAGGGTTCTGCAAGAATCAATCCTAGGCCAAGCAGCAGCAGAGGGAAGGTCTCCATCTCGATGTAGCGCAATCTCTGCTACAGTGAAGATAAAATGTGAGACACAGAAAGGAGGAGAGTGTTCAGGAGGCAAGTTTTCTTTTTGGGATGGCCGTTATTCCCAGCAGTGAGCCCTAGATGTAAGACTCCTACATAGATTGTAATAATGGAAGCATAATGCAGTGAAAAGCCAGTCAGCTGTGGAGTCCGAAGACCTGGGTACAATTCCTGACTCTGCATGTACAATGAATCACTCTACCTCACCTACCCTCAGTTTATCCTTCTGAAAAAAAAAAATACTGCGACAGTTATGTAAAGAGATAAGCTTAAAGTACTGGAGCCAAGGGCCAGCCAGATAGCTCTGTGGACTAAAGCACCTGCTTAGGCAAACACAGGAACCAGGGTTCGATGCCCAGCACCACATGCTGTGCCGGCTCCACCTGCAGGGGTGTACCGAGCTGGTGACTGAGACTGGGCATAGTGGCGTGCACCTGTAATCCCAGCGCTTGGGAGGTTTAAAACAGGAGGATCACCATGAGTCTTATCTACGTAGTGAGACCCTGTAGACTCTGTACTAAATACATTTTTTTTAAAAAGTACATGGAGCCAAGTATTATTTCTCCTCGTTTTCCCTATTCTATATTCTTCGTGGTGGGGTCTGTCGTCTCCACAGTAGGTCACAGGCATTTCACCTAACACACTCCTCACTTCTCCTCTCTCCTACATGCGTATCAAGTACTTGTCACATGGTACCCACTTGAAAAGAAAACACAGCCATTTCCCCTCCCTTGCTGCTTGCCCACCTCGTCTTAGTCATGAGATTTCTGTCTTTACCAATTTCTTTGACAAGTCCGTCTCACCAGCACAGATTCCAGCTGGGTGCAGGGCTAGCACTGCAACTCTGTCCTGGGAGTTTGTTATGGAGCGTGAGGGAAGCAGGGGCAGGAACGGATAGAAACACCTGTGTGCGATTGATGGAGAAGACCATGCGGAACCGAGGACGCTCAGAGAGAGCGGGACGGCGCATCCGTGTGGCAGTCGCAACCTCGTGACCCCGGAGGCGGCTCTGCCTCCTCATCCGTGAAATCTCCCAGTCTGTTGCACTCTCGCACAAAGGGATCTTTTCTCTCATGTGCCTGCCGCAGCGCAGGCCGTGCTGTGCTTTGTTCTGTGTGATCCTTTGCACTCGGTTCTAGTTAGCTGAAGGCTTAGCCTTCCCTCCCTCCCCCCCACCACAGATGACGCAGCCTTGAGGCAAGGGCCCAGTTTCTGATTAGTGTTTCTGATCGTTCTGCACAGCATCATACAATGAAGTGCACACACTCTCGTTTCTCAACAATATTTTTTAATCGTGTAGCGGGACTCCAGTAGCTAGAAAATCTTTTATTTGTAGTCAGTGCTGGCAAGTTCATAATGAGAACTGCAGAAAAGACGATTTTTCAGGGTGATGATTCTTCTACTCTTATACCTTATTGTCCCTTCTGATTTATTTCCTGGCTCTAATAGCCTCCACCTGTATTATCATTCTTACTTACCTTTTTAAAGAAGCTTTATTGCACTGTTATATGCCACCGAGGTAACCCATTTGACATGTGCAATCCAAAAGCAAATCACAATTTTAGAATATTTTCATTTCCTCAAAAAGGTCCTGTGCACCTGTTCTGTGGTCACCCCAACCCCACACTCAGCCCCAGACACCCATCACTCTACTTTCTGCCTTTTCTGGGTATTTCATGCAAAAGGATACATCCAGTTGATGGTTTTTGTGTGTGACTTCTCTCTCTCTCTCTCTCTCTCTCTCTCTCTCTCTCTCTCTCTCTCTCTCTCTCTCTCTCTCTCAGCATACTTTGAGCAGCACCTGTGCTACAGCCAGTATCTGGGCTTTGAATCTTTTTAGAGAGAAATCCTGTCCCATTTTGAACAGAGTGCATCTTGGTTTACATTCATTAGTTTATGGAAACATGTGCTACTTCCACCTTTAAATCATGTTTGTATTACTGAATATTAGTCTTACAAGATCTTTGGCTTCAATATGATTTTTTTTGCATTCACATGACATGTTCAGATCATATATATTCCCCATTATGTGTTTTTTTTTTAATTTTAATGAGAAAGAAATAGCAATGAGACAATTTCAAAACAGGCCAGCAGGATAGTTACAACAATCAAAACATTGCATACTGTTTCCTTCATAGTAGTTATTCAGAGTACAAAATGCAGACATGATACCTTGTCTAAACACTCTTAGTACAAATCGCTCCTCTCACTGAACTAAGAGGAAGTAGCTGTTTATCTATCCTAACTATTTTGTATATACAGATATAAATATTTTTTTCACTACAAAATAGTCCTTTATTTATATCCCCCTTTTTTGTTTTGTTTTGTCAGAGATGGGTGTTCCATCTCTGACACCCATTAAATAGTGCCATCTGCCATTCAAATATTGTAAGTGCTTCAAGTCAGCAAAATAACTCAGTACAGTCTAATAGTCCATAATAGTAGTAGGTTATCAGCAGAACTGGAAATGTCAGAAATTGTTGATTTGAGCCTTTTATAGCTCAGCATATTTATATGGCTTTACTTTTTATACTTTGTGGTTATACTTTTCTGCTGGATGGTTAAGACCAAGTTAAAGCAAGACCTATATAACTAAAAAATGTAACTTTTGTAATGTTTTTCTGTATTTTTTTTCCTTCTATACAATCATCCCCCTTGTGTAATAATAGCTTTTTTTTTTTTTTTTTTTTTTTGAACCAGGGATTGAACTCAGGCCCTTGTGCTTGCCAGGGAAGAGCTTATTCTACTGAGCCATCTCCCCAGCCCCAATAATAGCATTTTTTATTATTTATTTATTTATTTATTTATATGAGATCTCTCTGGGTAATCCAGGCTGGCCTTGAGCTCTCATTGACCCCTTGCTTCAGCCTCCCAAGTGCTGGGATTAAAAGTGTGCCCAGCATCCTTTAAACTTTCATGTCATTTTAAAAAATCCTTCAAAATATATTTATTGATTTGTTTGGTACAGGCTTTCACTATGCAGCTTGGACTCGTAGTGATCCTCCTGTCTCATCCACGCAGCACTGGGATTACTGGCATGCACCACCACACTTGGTTTTCATGCCTGGCACGACACAGGGTAGCACAACATATGGTATTGGGGATCGAACCTGAGTCCTTGCACTTGCCAGGCAGGCTCTTAGACCACCAAACTATCTCCACAGCCCTCATGCCATTTTTTAAATTTCAGATATTAGGGAAAACATGTAACACTTGGCTCACTTGCTTAATATGATAACCTCTAATTCCATCCATTTTCTTGAAAATGACATAATTTTATTTCTCTCTGTGGCGGAGTACTAATACTGTGTATATATACACCACATTTTCTTTTATCACTTACTGATTTACCCATTTATTCTTTAACCTAGGCTAGTCTTGCTGTTGTGAATTGTGCCACAGTAAACATAGATCTACGGGTATCTCTGTAGGACACCGGCCTTAACTCCTTCAGGTACAGACCAAGGAATAGTGCAGCAGGGTCCTATGGTAGTTGTAGCTTTAGTTTTTTTAAATAACCTCCATATTGATTTCCATGGTGGCCGCACTAATTTATACTCTCACCAACAGTGTGGAAAGATTCCTTCTCCCATGTTCATATCTTTACCAGCATCTGTTGTTCTTTGTGTTCTATGTGATAACCGTTTCTACCAGGGTGGGACGGAAGCTTGCTTAAGCTTTGGTTTGCATGTTTCTAATGGCTAAAGATGTGGAACATTTCCTCATATACTTATTTGCCACTTATACTCCTTTTAAGAAGCATCTGTTCAACTCATTTATCCATTTATTGATTGGAATATTTGATTTTTTTGATGTTAAGATTTTGTGTTTTTTAATGTGTTCTACATCTTATCATCTGTTAGAAGAGTACTTGGCAAAGAATTCTTCCATTCTGTATCTTCTCTTCCTTAGTTGTTTTTTTTGCTGTGCAGAAACTTCTTAGCTAGATGTGGTCCTATTGGTTAATCCTTGCTAATATTTCCAGTGCTAACTGAATCATAGTCAGGAAGTCTCACCTGTGCCTGTGGCTTCAAGCGTTTCCATCATGATTCCCTCTGGAAGTCTCAACATTTCATATCCAAGTCTGATTTATTCTAATTAACTTTTATACAGGATGAGAGACATGGATCTACTTTCAATTTTTAAAATATGGATGTTGTCTCAGCATCATTTGTTAAAGAGTCTGTCTTTTATCCAAAATATGGTTTTGGCTCCTTTGTCAAGAGTCAGATGGCTGCAGGTGTGTGGGTTTGTTTCTGCATCCTCTGTTCTGGCCCATTGGTCTAGTTCTGTTCTGTCTCATCTTTGTACCTCCTGGTTGAGCATCATATAAAAGCCCTAGACCACCAGAGATTGGGGCCTGATATTCTGGGAGTGATCTCGATCAATGCCTGTCCACAAAAATAAATCTGCCTCCAAATCCTGGGTGTCACTTCAGTGTTCTACTCAAGGCATCATCAGGGCACTAGCCACTTGCACTCTCGAGGTTCTACTGGAACCTTCACATGTGCCCCCGCTTCCTGCTGGTGACTCCAAACTGGCACCCTGGGAGAAGCACAAGTAGTATAAGTTGACTTCTTCCTTTCCTTTACATATTCTCCTTTTTTTTTTTTTTTTTGGCAGAACCAAGCAGAAGACGGCATACGAGATGTTGCGGCGTGACTGGAGTTCAGACGTGTGCTCTTCCGATC